TGTTGGATAAAATGTTTAATTTAAAAATGAAAATCCTTTTAAATATGTGAGCTACTTAAATGGATTATATTTCAAAATAATATGATTTTATTTAAGGAAAAAAGTTCTTACCTCTGATTTTCCTTTCAGGTAACAGAGCTCTTTATGAGCACCAGAAGGAGGCCAATAGATTCTCTAAAAAGCAATTAAAAGAATAAGTTTTGATCTGTACTTGTTTTTTTTTTTTTTTTAACTGAAACTAATAATATAAATAATTTATGGTTTAACTACTTACATGAGCTCTGTTCTCAACTAAATTCTTTAAGCTTATGTTATATACAACATCCCTGTAACAGAAATAATTAAATAATTACTTTTAGCAAATATAAATTCTATTAGTAACATTTAAAGTATTTACTACATTAGGAATATAAAAACAATCTGATGTGACACATCACAAAATTTTCACTGATCACCCTACATTTACTAGAAAGTAATTTTTTTTAAAGTTATTAAACCTTAGGATCAATCAATGCAAGTTATGACAATTCTTACCAAAAATTTGTATGTATTTTCTTGAAAATTCCATTTAGTTTCTATCCAAATATTTATTTACTGTTGTAAAAAATAAAATTAGGTATTTTCAATTACAACAATTAAAAGTCATTACCTCAACGTCACCCACCATTACCAATAATGATCTTATGTTAGATTAATGTTAGATATTAATTTTTCTAAAATCTATACATTATAAAATTCTTTCATAGTTCATATTCATCCATTTTTTATTACCAATAACAATAAAAGACCTTTAATTATTTCTAATAAACAAAATTACTTTAGAGGATGAAATTTTGTTATTGAAGCCCCGTTAGATTATTTCAATGAGGACAAGACTTGCCTTATATTAAAAATTGTTGTCTTATATAGACTTATTATTATTTACTTTACCAAATTTCACAACAACATGACGAATTTAATCAAAATTATTAGAGCCGTTTTCGAGAAAATTGTACAAATGTATACAGGGTGTCCCGTAAGTAGAGGGAAATTTTTATAGGAGTGATAGCAGATCTCAGGAGCTACAAAATTTCATATAAACAATGGACCTATTTTCATTATGTTTTATAAATCCAAACATCAAAAAATTTATAGATCCAAGTTTTGTGGTTTTTTAAGTGAGTCATATTTTTTATTGAATCGAAAGCAATAACTAAAGAAATATTTAATTTAAGTAATTAATAATTGCTTTGTTGTAAAAAATATGAAATTTACTTAAAATGAACATAGAATTTATCATTGTTAAAACTATTTACAGAAGACCTTTGAGCGAATAAACTATGCTAAGTTTTGTTTTTAGAAAAATCATAAATTAGTCGCCTTTTTTTTTATCTTCATCTAACTAAACTACAGCTTCCCCACTTTTACAAAAACTTCTTTGTTTAATAAGCTTTAAGTTCGTATTAATTAAGTTGAGATTTATTAGAGAAAAATTTGAGATTCACCTCAAGTTTTGTAAAACTATAATATCAAAACTAGCAAAGAAATATCCAGAGATCTTGCAAATAAAAAGCAATCTGGTAAATAAAATGAAATTTAATAAAATTATCCTTGGATCCGAAATTTTTTAGAGATCAAAAATATTTTTTCTCACTGCATATTTCATAAATGGGTAAATGAAAGTAAAAATGAACAAATATCTGATACCTAGATCCAACTAGAAATGAATGTTGATTTTTGTAAAGTAACTTGAAGTAATCAACAAACGAATCATTTCCAAGAAATCTTTCCACATGTTCTTCTTCTGTAAACAAATAAAAAATAATAATAATATAGAAAAATTCTTTGCAAGGAGAATACAAATGAATTAATTACATTAATATCTTTCAGAAAAAAATAGATAATCTTTGAAAAAAAAATGATTAGCATATAATCAGATTTATATTTTAAAGTGATAAGTCTTAAGAGTAACAAAGAGAACTAAAGTAACAAACAGTTAAAAAACTAGGCATGGATGAACTACTTCTTTGTTCAAGTAGAATTTTATTCTTATTCAAGTAAAATGAAAAAAAAAAAAAAAAAAAAAAAATATATATATATATATACATATACATATATATATATATATATATATATATATATATATATATATATATATATATATATATATATATATATATATATATATATATATATATAGGCTGCCCCGTACCCCGTAAGTAGAGAAGAATATTTAAAAGATTGGTAGTAGACATCAAGATCGACAAAAAAGTTCATATAAACAATTGCCCAAATTCCGTAAAAATTAAAAATCTGTGATGTTTTTTTTGTGCGAATCACGTTTTTTGTTGAATAGGAAGTGATAACTTAAAGAAAATTGATTTAAGTAACTAAACATTGCTTCGTAGTAAACTAGACAAAGTTTACGAAAGTAGAGTTTGTCATTGTTAAAACTATTTAAAGAATACTATTGGGGGGACAAACACAGCTAAGTTCTGTTTAAGAAAAAAAACATCAATTATTTGTGATATTTTTTTTTATTAATCTTTAATTTTACTACATTTATCCCACTTTTAGAAAAACTTCAAATAAGCCAGTTAAAAAACTTTAATAAGCTTTAACTCCATGCTAAATAAGTTGAGGTTCATTAGGAAAAATTTTGAGATTCACATTAAGGTTTGAAAGGAAATGATGGAATTCCTATCCAGTCACCTTTAAGTAACCTTGTTTTTTGCCAAAATGACTACAATCAGGTAACTGTTGCAAAGCTTTTATTTCATATTTTTCCGTCATATGGGATGTGTTGTAATAAACATAGATGCCTAAAAAAACATTTTATTTATAAAAATATAAAAATTAAAAATTATGATTTTAAAAATATTTTTCACGTAAAGTGGTTATGATTATTGTTCCTGTAATTACATTTAATAGTACTTCAAAAATCACTTAAACGCCATTTCATATAGGTAGTTAGTATCCTTTTCTTTTTTTTAAAAATAATTATCGTCATTTGTATGAAAAAAAAATTTTCGGGCTGAAGCTCCCCCCAAAATTAAATCCTGGATCCGCTAGTGTTTCTTACTAAACATTTACGTTCAAAATAAATAAACCTACTGACTGCTTAAATTTGTTTCATAAAAAACGTAAATACTAGGGCTAGAAACATTACATTTATCACCTATAAATACGCATTAATTCCTAAGACAGAAATCTGGCAGAAAAACACAATTTCATAACCACCTTACATGAACAATATTTGAAAATTCGTTATTTTTATTTTATTTATTTTTATAAATAAAATGTGTTTTTAATGTGCAATTATGTTTATTAAAATACATCTCATATCACGAATAAACAAGCTTTGCTGCAGCTGTTAATTGTACTAATTTCTGCCGACAACAGAGATGCTTTAACTTGACAGAATAAAAAATGTCATCATCAATCATTCCTTTACAGAACTTCAGATGAATCTCAAAATTTTTCCCAATAAACCTCAATTTAATTAATTTGGACTTAAAGGTTATTAAATGGAAAAGTTTTTCTAAAAGTAAAATGGTAACTGTAGAACAGTTGAAGGGTGAGAAAAAAAATCACAAATAATTTATGACTTTTTTAAAATGAATCTTAGCTGCTTTTGCCCGCTCAATAGTCCTCTTTAATTAGTTTTAACAATGACCAACTCTATTTTCGTTTAAAGCAAATTTTGTCTAATTTACTTTGGAGTAACGTTTAATTAATTAAATAAAGTATTTTTTTATGTTATGGCTTCCTTTTCAACAAAAAACGTGACGGAAAAAACACATCTTAAATTTCCTAATTTTATGCTGGCCATTAGGCAATTGTTTATATATACATACTATCAACCTTTTAAATATTCCCTTCTACTTACGGGACACCCTGTGTGTATGTGCATATATAAGATAAAGACCGGAGACTGGCGGTATCAGCCTTAATACTATCTGGTAATGTAAATAAACAGGCTAAGTGTATATAAGGAGGCTTATGGAACGAATAAAGCAGTGTTATTTCAGAAGTCGTGTATGTTACATCTTTTCCCTTTTCCTTCTTTTTTTTTATTTCTTACGTCCGACGACGCTTAACTGGTGCCGAAACCCGGGACAACGTCAGGGAAGTAATTTTTTTTTAAGTAGATATTTTTTTTTTGGTGTTTAAGGAAAAGGTGAAATGCCGACAGAAGGATTGATTAGACCGGGAGTACTAAGCGTACCGGAAATTCCTCAACCTCAGGATATTCCACAGATCAATCAGGTACCCCAGATCGCGCCTCAGGTACCTCAGATACCTCAAGTCCCTCAGGTAGCACAGATCCCTCAGATCCAGGAGATCCCTCCATTACCAAGGGACACGTTGGCAGAAGCACACGCCAATGCCTTGGAATGGATGAAGATAAGAGCAACAACCACGCAGGACTTACGGAGGGCCATTGCGGACCTAGAACGATTCGGAGGCGAGGTAGGCGAGCTCAACCATTTCTTGAAAGGCGGAGATCGTCTTATGTCAAGAATCGAGGTGAAGGTGGCGGAGGACCTGGTGAACCTAGGGGACGCGGAAGAACTAAAAGCAGCTCTTGTGTGCCGAGTAAGGAGGAACGTCCTGAACCAGATCCAAGCGGACGAGGAGACTCCGTGGCCGGTGATTAAGGAGCGGCTGAAGAAGGCTTTTGGAGGAGGTAGGTGGACACCGGAAGAGGACATATTCCAAATGTTTAGGGAGCGGCGGGCCCAACGACAGTCAAGGGGGCAATATGCGGGAGTACTCGTGGCGAAGTACAATCGCATAACCGAGAAGATGCGGGAAACAATGAGCGTGGGAGAGGTCGAAGCCAGGATGGAGTTTCTGTCGACAATATTGAAAGTCCAGCTGGCTAAAGAAACGGGGAAGAGGGACGGACTGCCCAGAGAGCGATCGTTCCTCGAATGCGCCCAGGAGATGATCGACCTAAGTGCCAGAGAGGAGGAGACACGGATGGATGTGGAAGAACCAGGTTGGACCCGAGTGACGGATAGACGACCATGGACAGCCCCGACAGGTTGGAAGAAGAGGGACACAAGGCAGCCGAGCGGAGAAAAAGCCCCGACGAGGGAAAGAAGATCGGGACAGTCGTCGAGGCCGAGGAATGGGCCCCGGAGGGAAGAGAGAAAATGTCACGGGTGTGGGAAGCCGGGACATTTAGTAGCGCAATGTCCACGCACCAGATGCTTCGAGTGCGGGACGGAAGGGCACATAGCAAGGCAGTGCCCATACATATTTCACAGGAGGGAGAGACCTCAGGACGAACCCATGGAGGTGAATGTGCAGAGGATGAAAAGACGAGCCAGGGTACATCAGCGGGACGGATCTTCGGAGGAGGCAACCGAGGAGTCAGGAGCGTCGGGAACGGAGACGGACGAACCAGGCAGCAGCGGAGGTGAAGGAGGTAGGCGCAGCCAACGGAGTGAGCAGCGACGAGCGGCGGCAGAGAGGAGGAAGCGGGACGACATCTGAGGAGTGTGTCGGCAGAGAGGCGACCGCACAGCAATATGCAACAACATCCGAGGTAAGCCATGCTGGTTGCCAATTATCGAAGTAGACGGGGGAGTAAGGTGTCTTGTGGACACGGGTAGCTCGAGCACTATTATGACTCGAAGGGCGTTAGGAAAAGGGTGCGGGAGCGAGAGGGTACTCCGGATACAGAAATGTGACTGCCAGCTGATCACTCTGGGTGGTCCCTGTAGTGTAGAGGGTGAGGCGACAATTGGGCTTGATCGGTGGACAGGGAAAGAGGGTGAGCTAACGGTGCATGTGGTGGAGAACATGACTCGGGAATACCAAGTCATAGTAGGGTGCGATTTGTTAGGTCAGGTAGGGGCGAGCATTAGAAATCGTAGAGGAGTCTGGAGCGTTAGGTTAGGAAAGAGGAAGTTCGGATGTATAGGGGTCGCGAGAGAAAGAAGGGTGCGGATAGGAGCGGTGGACAGAGTGGAGGACTGGAGGAAGTTGCTACAAGAGGAGTTTAGGGATATCTTCTTCAGGGAAGGTGAGGTATTAGGAGTAACAGGGAGGACGGTGCACGAAATCCCACTGAAACAGGAGAGGGTAACTTACGTGAAAGAGAGAAGATACCCGCAGGCGTTGAGACAGCATATTCGGGAGGAGCTAGATAGTCTAAAAGAACAGGGAATCATAGTTGATAGCACCTCACCATTCAATAGTCCTCTGTGGGCGGTGAAAAAGAAGGCAGCGCCGGGGGATAATAAGGAAAAATACAGGGTGGTAGTAGACTATCGTAAATTGAACGATAACACGGTAGACGAGAAGTACCCGATCCCGAGATTCGAGGATATACTCGATAGGTTGAGTGGGGCCGTGGTCTTTAGCACGCTGGACCTCAAGGCGGGATACCACCAAATACGGATGCACCCGGAAGACCAACACAAAACAGCGTTCACATTTGAAAGGGGGCATTATGAATTCACCAGGATGCCGTTTGGTCTGAAGAATGCGCCCATAACATTTCAGCGTCTGATGGACGAATTTTTGAGGGGCATCGATGACTCGGTATGCCAGGTATACATGGATGACCTGCTGATTTTTAGCAGAACGGAAACCGAGCACGTGGGACATCTGAGGGCAGTATTCGAAAGGCTCCGGCAATTCGGGCTGAAATTGTCAAGCGAGAAGTCTCTGCTGGGACAAACGCGGATCAATTTTTTAGGCCACACTATCTCTAGCGAGGGGGTCAGACCGGATGCGGCAAAGGTGGAGGCAATCACGCGGATGGCGGTACCACGGGACGTCAAGGGGATTCGTAGGCTTCTCGGGACGCTGAATTATTACCGGAGATTCGTACCCGAGATGGCAGAGTATTTGGTACCCATCAACAATTTGTTGAAGAAAGGCGCGAAGATTGTGGTGACACCAGAGATGGAGAATAACATTCGAAAATGTATGAATAGGTTGCTGACGGAGCCGGTGTTAGCGTTTCCGGATTTCGAGAAGCTTTTTAATATAACCACTGATGCGAGTGAATACGCGCTAGGGGCCGTTTTGTCCCAGGGGGGGAGTGAGGGTGAACGACCGATAGCATACGCGAGCCGTCGGCTTACGGGTGCGGAATCAAGGTACAGCGCTTTGGAGAGGGAGCTACTCGCGATAGTATGGGCTATCGACCATTTCAGGCCATACGTATTCGGGAGAAAATTTCGAGTCCATACCGACCACAAACCCCTCCAGTGGGTAGGAAAACTCAAGGAAACCTCAGCTAGGGTCACAAGATGGAAGGAGATCCTAAGCCAATACAACATAGAGGTGGTGTATAAGCCGGGAAAGGAAAACGTGGTGGCAGACTGGCTCTCGAGGGCCATCATGATCAACGCGATTGAAGAGGACAGGGGAGGACCATCGCAGGACGTGCGCCAATTCTTGAGGGAATGGACTCCCGATGGCGAAGGGGCAAATGACACCGCAGGGATTGAGGACAGGGGAGATTCCCCAGAAGAGGAGAGCTCAGCGGAAGAAAGGGCAGCGGAGATGGAAGAAATAGAGGAGATCGTGAACGACAAACACCGTCAGGTGATTTGGAAGACACGAACAACCGGAATCATGAAGATCGATTTCAGAAGGTACGGGAGAAGTAGGATCCGCGTCATTTGGTCGCAGCCCGGGGTCAGCGAAGAACAAATCTGTACGGCACTGAGGGATGCCTCGGAAGCGGGTAAAACGCACTACCTATACGTAGGAAACAATACGGTATGGGATAAGATCAAGCGAATGTGGAGGTCCGAGCGAATAGGCGTGGACAGGACATTCATCCGGTGCAAGTATGCTGTGGAGACGGTACAGGACGAAGAGCAGCAGCAAGCAATCACAGTAGCATATCACCAGGGGAAAACCAATCACCGAGGCGTTAATGAGACGCTGCAGGCATTGCGTCGGAAGTATTTCTGGTGGGGCATGAAGAGGTCCATCCAGGAAGTCATTGGGAAATGCGAGATATGCATGCGCACAAAATACGATCGACACCCCCCCAGAGGAGTTCAGGAGGAGACACCTACAGGGAATATGCCGCTACAGGACCTTCAGATTGACACGTTTACCTGGAAAGGGTTTAAGTGGGTCACGGTAATCGACATATTCAGCAAGGTGGCGATGGCATACCAAGTGATGGAGAAGTCAGCCAATGCAGTTGCGGAAGCCCTACAAACCTGGGTGCAGTTCTATGGGGTCCCCGAGAGGATTACTTCGGACGGTGGTAGGGAGTTCGACAATGCCGCGATTAGGGAGGAGGTGAAGCGATTGGAAATTGCGTGGCATTATAACACCCCAGGACATCCTAAAGGTAGAGGCGGTATTGAACGGCTGCACAGTACGTTAAGCGACCACGTCCGTGTATATCAGGGTGAAAAAGGGTTGGAGCCGGATGTGGCAATGAGGAAAGCGGTAACAGCCTATAACCACTCGATCCACTCCGTAACGGGGTTTTCACCCATGGAAGTTCTATTCGGGATGCGCAGGCCAAGGCGGGATTATGGGGAAACTACGCTTACCGAACCGTTAGTGGATCAAATTCTCAGCAATAGGGTAGAGGTAGAGAAAACATGGGGAAAGATAACGGCGAGAATTAAGCGGGAAAAGCAGAAGCGGGTGGAAAGGCAGAATGTACAGGTTCGCGACCAAATGGGGGAACTAAAAATAGGAACAATAGTTTACCGGAAATTGGGAACCAACAGAGGGAAACAATTGCTACGGTACGAGGGTCCATTCAGAGTGGTTGTTATTAGGGAGCATAACCTGGTAACTATTGAGAGCGTGAATGAGCCCAGAAAGAGGAGAACCGTTCATATCGAACAATTAAAGCTCCCAATGATAGAGTCGGGACATAGACCTACGGATTCGTAGTACCCTCACCGCTGTATATAAAACAGAGAAATATGTTTTTTTTGTGGCTGTCAAAACAAAACAAGTTGTAAAAGATTTTTTTTTTGTTGTATTATTTCATGTATAGAGGAAATTGTGTTTTTTTTTGTTTTGTTGTTGTTAGGAGTTCTCAAGTGGTAGGAGTTCTAAAGTGCTGTGTTTAGTTTCAGTGTTTTTAATTATTTCTTCTTTATTTAATATTTTTCCAGTTGAGTGGAACTATTTTATTTTCTTTTAAGGATATCCTGTAAAACCAATTGTAAAGTGTTAAGGCTGGTCACCGTGGGCTCCGATCTAGCAATATTTAAGTTTCCGAAAATCCTGTTCGTAAACTGGTGGGGGGGAGATAAAGACCGGAGACTGGCGGTATCAGCCTTAATACTATCTGGTAATGTAAATAAACAGGCTAAGTGTATATAAGGAGGCTTATGGAACGAATAAAGCAGTGTTATTTCAGAAGTCGTGTATGTTACATCTTTTCCCTTTTCCTTCTTTTTTTTTATTTCTTACGTCCGACGACGCTTAACTTATATATATATGTATATGGAAAGGAGGTAACAAAATTGAACATATATATAATTGGTAACTCACTGTATGTTGTGTGCATTCTTGGGTCTGGATTCTGGATCCAGGCATTTGCCCAGCTCAAGAAGAAAATTGTTGAGTATATTTGGTGGTACATCATCTTGATAGTTGATATTTATGACACCTGGAAATGACACATAGATTTTTACTTAAACTTTACGTTATATATACTTGGCAAAGAATCCAAATAAGAATAAATCGAACAAAAGAAACGGATAATATCTATGTTTATATCTTTGTTTTAAATATAAATATGGAATCAGACAAATCTCAACATTTCATTTATTAAATAAACAATTGGAAACTGCTTCCGAATCAAAATTTAAAAAAAAAAATGTCACAAATTACTTCCTGCCTTGTAAAAATTTTGAAAGGAAAATCTTATAGTGCCAATGCAACCCTTTCTTATTGAAATAATAAATTTACGAATCAGTACACGCGATTAAAAGAATGTATAACATATCCACGCTTTAAGAAAAAAAATTGGTGAGCGCATCACACGACTTTCACTTAACACCTTCTTCTTAGCAGATATAAGTAGTTTCAGACAAAGGGGAAGTGAAAGTAAAAATTATTAACACTATATTTATTTGCAATTCATTGTGGGTATTTTTATTTGTTTAAATACCCTTATATATTCAAATTTTAATTTTTATATCGCTGTATTCTATATAATTAATTATTAAATAATACCAACGACAGCATTTATGAGAACCGCATGTGTATATCAACATAATATTGTCCAAGTCCGTATGATATTAAGCTCATGTTACATATTGAAGCCTGTTATAATCGTTCGGGCGAGTTCGTGTTCCTTTGATTCCTCTATTACAACTATTATCCGTTAGGATCCCTTATTTATCCTTTATTTAAATAACAAGTTCTTTCATATTTTATATTTAACTATTTTTTATATCGAGAAGCACGCATTTTTTATGTGGAAGAAGTCTTCCTCGAAAAAACCTTGGTTTCCCATTGAAAGCTCAGATATTTTAAAGTAATTTGATATGAAAGGGTTCATTCAAAGGGTTCAAATCAAAATGATGAGAGGGAAGAGGCGGTTGAGCAGGTGGAGGGGGCTCCCTGCCCTCCTTGCGTAATAGTCAAGGGGTCACTGACCCCACTCTCTTGGCCTAGCCTTACTTGCGATAGTTGCGATCCCGGGGCACCTTCGTCTGCCACAGCAAATCCACAAGGACAAGTCAAAATATCGCCATGGATATTTTTCTGGAAAATTACATAAAACTTTATACGGTTATAATAGAAACAAATCCAACCGCACAGCTTCATGACTCCAAAATGCAGGCTAAAGCGCCCCCAAAATTAAATCCTGGATCCGCTAGAGCTTAATGACACCAAATCGCAAACTAGAAGGAAGGTGCGTAAACATTAAACGTGTAAAGACGGTGTAGTCAAGTAAATAAGAATTAGTTAAAATTAAAATTAAAAAAAAAAACCTAGCAATATGAGTAAACATAATAATGAACATTGAAAGTTGAGAGTTAATACTTAATAATAAAGTGTTTGATTGACAGAGACAACAAGTAATAAATTTCACTCCTTTAAGTTAAGATTTTTCTCAAATATAAGGTTTGGTCCATGCAGAAAAGTCATTTTAAAATGTTTGAACTGTAATAAAAAAAAAAAAAAAAAAAGGAAGATTTATACATATAGGGTTGTCCGGAAAGTTCGTAGAGATTTAAAAACAAACGTTTTATTTTTGTAATTTTCAACTCATAATGAATTTTAAAGCTTTTATTTGTTTATATATTTTTCATCCTCAATGTATTATCTGCGATTACATTTCAAGGCTCAGTAGGTCCAGTTTGTGCAAACCGAACATGAGCGACAATAAAGTCCATTTTCGCCGTATTATACTTTTGTATAATATCGCAAACTGCAAATAAGATAATAACTGTATACGGAGACGATTCAGTTGCTGACACCACTGTTCGGGAATGGTTTTCGTGGTATAGGTATGGAGTCCCCTGGGTCTACCGGAGTTTAACGATGGCTCTCGTTGCAAACAATCACGTATTGCTGTCCGTCCGATAGCCGCGGAATAAAATTCTTAAAGAATAACGGCCAGAGTTGACTAATAGGAAAGGTGTATTAGTATACCAAGATGACAATGCTCGCCCCCCCCCCCCTCCTCGTTGAGATTACTTTATCTTTCGTTCCCACAACACAAGAGGGATCTTTCATTGTTGTTCGGACACGAAGACAGCGGTTTTTGGAAAAGGGGGATTAAGGGTCTTTCCAGCCGTTGAGAAAGGGTTATCGCTAATGGCGGTAATTGTTGTACTTAATTTTTATAAATCAATTTTAATCTTTTAATAAATTTTAATTATTGTTAAAATTTACCTACAAACTTTTCGGACAACCGTGTAATATTTTTCAATAGCATAGACATTTGAAATGAAGACACAAATAAAAATTTTAAAAGGCTACTACAAGGTTTCTGGAATAACTGAGAGCTTTATAATATACATATTTCCCGTTTAGACAGATCATGTATTTTACATACGTATAAAGTTCTATACAACAATTTACTTTAGAAATCATTTATATAATATTTTTAATTTCAGTTGCGAAACTGACATGACTAAAATAAGATGACCGCTGTATTTATTTTAAGGGACCAAAAAGTAATTAATGGAAAGACTGAGGAATATTGCTAAATCGTCTATGAATATGTACAAAATAGCACCTTTGGGGTCTTACTGAATGCCTGAGGGAAGTTATAAAGATCCAGCAACATTGCCACAGATACTCCCTCCCACGGGCGGATCTACGGGGGGGGGGGCTTTCGGCCTGAAGCCTCCCAAAATTGGAAAATGTAGCCATGTTTTATCGAAAAAAATATTAAAAACTTATCTCTCAAAGTATTATTGTTCGTGTAATTACATTTAAAAGGGCTTAAGAAATCACATAAACACCATTTCATATAGGTAGTTAGTTATTTTCTTTTTTTCCAAAGTAATTATCGTTATTCTTATGAAAACAAAACCTTTCGGGCTGAAGCCCCCCCCCCAAAATTAAATCCTGATCCGCTAGTGCTCCCTCCCCTCTTCTTAAAAAACATTGGAAGGGAAAGTATGTTTACAAAAATTGTAAATCATAAACATTTCCACTTGTCGTCTGTTCTGTTTCCCTTTGTTCTCTGGTTTGGATGTTCTTACAAATTGAAATCTCCCAAAAATATGCCAACAATTCCTAACCCCGTTAAAATGTGCTAGCCTCACTAATTCAAAATCATATTAAAATGAGTCCCTTAAAAAAGCTGCGCCATAAAACCCCCTTTTGGACACGCCTGCATTGCAAGTAGCAAACAGCAGTGATGATGAAAGTGACTTGGACATATTAAAAAGATTTCTCATAATAATTCTTTTTTAGATTAATGATTTTAGCAATGTATTTTATTAATTGAGTGCTTAAGTTAATCATTTTTTTTGCAAAATAATTGTTTTTATAAATTTTCGGATATCTGTTTTTTTTTTCGTTGCCCTGGGCAAGAAATAACAGTTGTCAATTAGTCATGTAATTGCGTGAAAAAACATCCGCTAAATTAAAATGATTTATTTCCAACTATGTAAAAATAAATTTTAGCTACAAAAATAAATTGATTTAAGGACATTGACTTTTGTCCCGCTAGATTGTATAGGCAGCCTATGCGGCGGCATCTATCTAATTTTCTCTAACAAAGGGGTCACTCTATCCATTAAACAGAAACATGATGGTTTTGTTTATTTAATTAAATTTATATTTTAACTATATAGTTGGTTTAAGACTTGATTTATTTTTAACCCCAACGGTTAATTCTATAGATCATTATCAAGAGAAAAGCTTATCATTACTAAAAAAGTCATCTCCCTGGCGTAATCCCTTTACTGAGGGGAATTCCACCGATCTCTCTCCGCCGATCTAAACCATGCAGCTTACCTTGTTCATTGTAAGCCTCACGAGGCTTATGAGCTTGCTAGGGTTCTTAAAATGCTTTAGAGCCTCATACAATTTTTCCCTATTCATGCTATCGTAAGCTTCTCTAAAATCGATGAAGAAGTTACGTTACCAAGTAGAAGTAGAAGAAGTTGGCGCAAGTTACGTTTTCAAAATGTTTGAGGGTAGCACATTTTGACGAGTTTTGAAGTTTTGAGGAGGGAACCAAAAGATCAAAAGATAAGGGGACAGGCTCCAGCATGTGTAATCAATTGCATATAATCTACTATATTTAAAGCCTACTTTCGCTTTTAAGAAGAAGAGAGCAATGAAATATCTTGGAAAGGGTGGGGGAAGGTTGATGCGTCATCGACCTGGGGGAGGGGGTGGACACCTCTGTGGTTATTTATTTATTTTTTTCTTAGAACAAACTTCGAAACATTTCTTGAATAAATCAAAACCTACATGAAGAAAACCACTATTATTTAATTCAAATATTTTTTTTTTTTTTTATAAATATGTATTTTTAAATGTTTCACAATGTATGACTAGACATCAGAGTCGAGTTTTAGTGCCAGAAAAATAAAGTTGAGTTAGGAATAAAACAGGCTAAATAAGATCGCATACAACCTAATGACCTGGGTAAATGTCAATGTCATTGCTATTGGCAACCACTAGTAATGATTGTGGAATTTGAAAGAGATTATTCCGTGAAAATTGATATGATCGAAAAAGAACAACAACAATAAAAACAAGCTTTTCTGTACAGAGATTGATCTCCTTGATAGTTGACAAGAAAGGCTCCAAGGGCTGCAGTTGGGATGGGATATCAGGGTCGTATTGGAGATTGTCAACATTGAGTAAGGCAACTGCATAGACAAGAGGACCCCCACATTTCTATACTGGACCCTAGTACTAATCTGGAAAGACTGTCATATGATACAATAAAACAATAAAAAAATGTTATAATAATGATAACCACGTTGAAATGTCAACACACACACACACGCACAAAAAAAAAGGCACACATACCTTTTAAAATAAACATAACTTCTACTTTTTTAAATATTTCTTTAATTTACTCGAAGTGTTGTAATAAAACATATTGTTATTTTATTGCAAATATTAAATACAGAAAGAATGGGTCATTGCAAGGGAACAGATTCTCCGGCTACAGATTTAAAT